ATTAGGACATATATTATCAGCTTGTTAATTGTTTTGCTGGTTATATGATAGAAGATGATATGATCCGAACTCTGAAATGCAATTTTCTGCCTCAATGTGTATCTTCATGGATGGTTGTTCCTTGTATGGCGATTAGATGCATCTCCTCTAATCATGAAGTTAATGCCATCGTTTGATTTGTTATTTGTGGTAAACCAGCTAGAGTTATCACTGATAGGGATACTGGAAGGTCAAGAGGATTCGGGTTTGTGAACTTCACAGAAGCTGAAGCTGCTAACTCAGCAATGTCAGCCATGGATGGACAGGTCAGTCTGATAAGAAACCTGTTTCTTTCTCATGGATTTACTTCTGTGGTTGCCACAACATTTAAACTGATTGTTGTGCTGTGTTCTGTTTTGCTGCTGCATTTTCAGGAGTTGCAAGGTCGCAACATACGAGTGAGTCTGGCCAACGAAAGGCCCAGTGCTCCGCGTGCTTACAATGACAGCTACCGTGGTGGTGGAGGTTATGGTGGTGGGGGCAGGGGAGGAGATTACTAGTCCTTTCTGCTTGCGTTGGAAATGACTCTTGTCGCAGCTCCTTGCCAATTCGGAGAGGCATTTCTGGTTTATGAGGTGCGGAAAACTGTGGTTCTTTTCGACTTGAGTCGTGGATTTGTTTTCGTTAAGCACATGGAATGTGGTTGTTCCAATTTGTCTTATACTTTTAGTAGATTAGGGGCAGCAGGGGGGCTAAGTAAGTAGTAACTGTTTGCTGCTCACATGATGTCATCTCGTGTTAACGTCCTTTCCTGTGAAGGTGTGTGTTAATAAAGGTGAACTTAAATGTTGAATCTGCTGTCAGTTTAAAGCTCTCTGGTTAAATATGCGTCATACTGCCTATCTCTTCTCTCAATTCTCAGATGGCTCACTGTCAACTGTGCTTGAGGATATTCTATTCTGAGTAGAAGATGAAACTTCAATTGGATACAATAGGTCGGCCGATGGCAATCAACCATCATCGATCAAATAACACGTCAAACACTTGTGGGTTTGGGTGGATATTCCAATTTTTCACTTCCGAATCCCAGACGCGGTATCTTAAAGCTCAAAACGCTAACCCCTCATCCTTGTGGATAGGAATGGCAATTGGGCAGGTTTGGGGCGGGTATTTCGATACTTATATCCGTCCCATGGCAGGTCGGATAATTTATCAATTATCATGGGTTGTAGGTCGGGAAAGGTCGACCTAATGAGTATGAAATTTATGTGGAAAATATTATAAATATTCGTTATTTTCATTAGGCAAAATACACATGTATAGCCAAAACTTTGACGATTTTGCCAATAATAGCCATTTTCTGAGAAATACATAAAATAGCCACTTCCGTCCAATTCTTTAACGGTGTCATCTAACTAGCTGACTGGACTAACGAAAATGCTGATTTGGCGACCTTTGAATAATAATAGCTGAGGTGGAATTAGCTGAAAAATAAAAATAAATTAATCAATCCATTTTTATTTTCTCTCACCCTTCCCACCCCTCTCTCGTACTTCCCGTCGCCAGCTCCACAGTAGCAGAGCCGCCGCACAGCCACCGAAAACCCATTTCCCCAACTCCACTTTGTACACAATCCCTAACCCGCTCTTCCCCGATACATAAGTCGATGCCCTTAACAGCTCGTCCAGCTCAAAATTAAATCCTTTGTCCATCAAGACCAGATCCCCTTCTCCCGATTCCACTCCTCCATTGCCTCCTCCTTCCGTGTCCTCGCTTGCGTCGCTTCCACCTCGACTGGGTTGGTGTTCTTCTTGTTCTAATGAATCGTTGACCGGAAAACAAGGTGGAAATCAGAGAGGTATAAAACACACCTTATCAGATGCATGAGAATGGGAGTGGGGTTTAGAATGAGATTTCTTGGAGCGTGGAGCCCTGGCCGGCTTTTTAGTGGGATCAGGATGAAGCTCGGGTTTGGCAATGATTTCGATTTCATATTTGTGTTTGAGGGAGTTTGCTTTTAAAGAAGAAGAAAGTGATGAGAGCTCCGAGAAGTACAATAGGGAGAAGAACGTCCATTTCGAGCAAAAAGGATCAGAAGCTGAATCGCAATCGATTGTAGAGAATCCGCAAGCGGTTTTGTTGTCAAATTGAAATTGGAATCGAAGACGAAAGAGTGATGATTCTAATTTTTGCTACTATGGATTTGTAGAGATACTGTCGCCGTCTACGGCTGAACGCTGAAAGGAAGGCTGGTGCTCTGTTTCCTACAAAGGATCCGCAGGGGAAGGGAAAAGGTGGAGGAAGGGAAAGGGTTTGCTGAGGAAGGCGAAGAGGCATAGATGATTTATTTATTATGTTTTTGTGATTATATTTTTTTAATTAAAATATGACGTGTTGAGTGAGTTGGCAGTCCAATAAACGTACCGTTAAAATAACTAACGGTGTTAATAACGTCGTTAAAGTTTGTAACGGAAATGGCTATATTTATCATTAAACTTTCAAAAGTCTGGCTATTTTCGGTATTTCTCCAAAAGTGGCTATTACTATCACAAACGTTAAAGTTTTGGCTATACAAATGAATTTTGCCTTTTCATTATAAGACCAAGAAAACAAACCATATTATGATCAATGTAGTTAAATTATTAGAGAAATTGGAGTTTTTATTAACTTACAAGTTGATTCTAGCTAAAATATGATGTAATAAAGGAAATTTTAAGTAATTTGACTAAGATTACATGTAATTTAGGCAAAAACGGGTCAAAAATGGGGCCGATCAGGGTATTGCAGGTCGGTGAGAGTACCCATACCCGCCCAACCCCGTCTCAAAACAAGCCAAACAAGTCGGATAAAATGGGTCAGGTCGAAATTGACATCCCTATTTGTGAATAAGATAAGGAGAGGATTATGAGGGAAAAAAACAGGTCGATTTTCATTCCTATGTCGGGTCAGTGTTTACTAATGCTTTTTACTCGTATGTTGCTCATCAGAACTTTCTAGCAGATTCAGATTGTTCGAACTTTTTCATATCTCCTTGAAGTTAGTTTGCCACAAAACAGGTATGGTTCATTCAGTGTAGCCAGGCCCAAGGTGAATTGGGCCAAATATGATTTGATGCAAACTGCCCATTGAAGAAAGTTGTGAAGTATTTGGACTTTGGATCGAAACATAATGGTTAGGTCCTCGGTATAATAAATATACTAGCTTTTTACCCGACTCGTTGGTCGAATGAATTTAGTTTTATTTATTATATTTTTATATTTTCAAATAATTTGGGATCGTCTAAATAATTTATTAGTGGGTTGAAACTAATATTTGTGTGAATTATTGATTGTAACATTAGTTAGTTTATAAGTATTTGTATTGATCATGCTATCGCTTACTGTTGTCTATATATTTTTTATATTTAAGAAAAAAAATCACTTCCTATTGTTAGAATAAATTACTTAAAAATATTTCTTCATAAAATTTGATATTATTCACTTATTTTTCTATTATATCCATGAAAATAAAATAATTAAGCATTGAAGTATTAATTATAAACTCCAAGGGATTTTCCCTATTAGTAATTTGGAGGGATAAAAATTTATCAAATAAAGGATTCAAATTTTATGGTCGACAACCATTAGGTACAAATTTAGAAAATACAAAATTATTAACTAATAATTCACTTTTAAAGAATATATATCTCCAAAAGCAGCTGTGGTTGTTAATAGCTAACATTAATGTATACGGATAGTACAATTGTATTATAATGGACATATATGAAATATTCCAATTATTTCTTCATAATTTTAATTAAATAAGGCACTCTATAGTTCAAACATACAATCATTTGTTGTGAAAATTAAGTTTCTGAAAAAGATTCATGATTTTAGTAAATCAATATGGATTTTTTATAATTGATTTTGGTGTTGCCTTTGATATCTAAAAGTCAACACTTATAGATTTGTCTACTATGTCATTTGAAAGATTCTAAAAATTTATAACAAATATGTACCACCAACAAATAAAAACTTTTTTGTCAAAAATTTGTGTGCCCATAAATTTGTTCTTAGCTTTGTGCTCGGCTTTTAGCTCGATAGTATAACATATGCTAAATTTAAGACAATCCTTGTGTCTGCCACCTATTTCATAGCATATTAGGTTTCGAGTATCCACAAATATTAGTACGCTTTCAACAATTATGTTTATAGTTACACGTATACTAACATTATGAAGTGAAAATTTACAACAATAAATAACTATAATAAAGAAAATTAATTAAAAAGAATACCATCCATAAAGCTCAAGAATTATTAGTGAATTAGTTGGTAATCTATTATCCTCTTGCAAAAAAATGGACAATTACATTATGCTCATCGCTATTTTTGGAAGGTCAGATGATCAACAATAAAAGTCGGGGAATTTCAAGAAGATTCCCAAAGATGTTTCCCTCCCTCCAGGCAAATGATCGACTTTGCTTTTGCTAGTAGAGAATGGAGCTGTTATACCTGCATAAAACAATGTCTCTTGAAATAGTGTTTATTTTCAACAATTTGCACAATTCCAAATTGATTGATAGGTCAACGCGATCACATATTTTATTGACTTATCTGTTGATCATTATAATTAGAAGCAACAAATAAAATGAAAAGCATAGTGATAAAGATGACTATTAATACCATAGACCGATAAACGCATCCCTCTTCGCTACTTTCTGTTGGCAACTATGGAAAAATAGAAACCTCTGGGCCTTCGAGAGACTATTGGCGCCGGCAACCCAGTTAGCCTACCAAATCCGGCAAATGCGAGTGCAGATTGATCAATCTTCCAGGAGGATTGGGCAGGTTCTCGGGGAGGCTACAAAGCGGGTGGAAAGGGGAAATAGAATAGGGTTTGGGATTTTCACAAAAAGGCTACAATTTCCCCTTTATTAGTTGTTCTGGGCGTCGCCCACCAAAGTGAAACCGTGTCTCCGAGTGCCCAGGTGCCTAGATCACTTGGATTTTTCGTCCAACAATCTCACTGGCCTAGTTCCATCACCAGGATTGCCTGAAAATCTGGTATATCTAGACTTATCTCACAACCAGTTAAAAGGTGAGATACCGACTCACTGGCAAAGCTTTCAGAAACTTGAGTATATTGACCTCAGGTACAATTCTTTCAATGGAAGCATACCACCATCATTGTTCACCGTTCCATCCCTGCAAAACATTCAGCTCGCCTTCAACCAACTCAAGGGTCAGGCTCCAGATTTTTCAAATCCTGCTTCTTCTGTTCTTGATACTTTTGATTTGAGCAGCAACAATTTGGAAGGTCCCATCCCTCCCTCCATCTTTAAAGTCCAAACACTGAAAGTCCTCATACTTTCATCCAATAGATTTAAAGGAAGTGTACAGTGGAACTGCATCCAGGCGCTCCCGAAAATCACCACTTTTGATATGTCATACAGCAACTTGACAGATATTGCAAGTGGGAACAACAAGAACTCTACCTTATCATCCATTTTTCCTCAGTTTAACACATTGAGTCTGGCATGGAGCAATCTAAGAATATTTCCAGAGTTGGGCAATCAGTCAAGGCTATCCTATTTAGACCTTTCGGGAAACAATATCAGTGGGGTAGTACCCCGTTGGATTCTGGAATCAACTACAATATACCATCTCAATCTCTCGCACAACAACCTAAGGTGTTTCGAGGTACCTATTTCTCTTCCCTATGTCATTACCTTGGACTTGCAACATAACAATCTCCAAGGGGAAATTCCAATCATCTCATCATTAGACATAAGCTACGTGGATTACTCCCACAATGATTTCAATGGCTCGATTACAGCAGAACTGAGCAATCACTTTTTATTTACCAACATCATCATACTATCCAACAATCGTATAGGAGGAGTTATCCCAACCAGTATTTGCACTGCTTCATCACTCCGAGTCCTTGATCTATCGAACCAATGATTTGACCGGCACAATTCCAAGCCGTTTAATGGAGAATTTTGGGATGCTTGCTATCTTAAATCTGAGGGGAAATAAGCTAAACGGAAGCTTCATGCTCAGTAGGAAGATTTCTCGCCAATACTTCTAAATAATTTGGGATCCTCTAAAATATTTTGGGTCGTAACTGCCAATACTTCTATTGGAGGAAGATTTCTCGCCAGCCATGCCAGTCGTTGAGAAAAGCTTAGGCAAGAACAGAGATGAAAGCCATATATCAATCAACAAATAAAAACAATAGGACAAATTAAAGGGTATCTTACCCAAGGGAGAACTATTGTGGCTCTGCGTACCGGAACACTTGCAATAAAATTACATCGCACAGAGGCTATGAACCGCCCAGAAAAGGAACTGCCGGTGATTATCCCAAATTTTTTTTTTCTTTTTGTGTTTTTTTTTTTTGCAAGGGATGACAAGTAAGAGACTGATGGTAGTAATCATGAAAGGTCGGCCAATCGATTCCAGCAAGTAGTTCCGGCGAACCCATTTTCGTTGGCCCACCCATCGGACGATGGGCCGGCGTCGAAGAAGATATTCGCGGAGGTCTTTCTCTCTCGCCGTCGCTGCAATTCGTCGGCGATTCGATTTCAACTTCCTCCTCATCCTCCTGCAGCAGATCGGAGAATTCAAACGCTCCCTCGGTCGATCCATTACTGGAGCAGCAGGAAACGTCGGAGGCGAGCCGATCAACTTCCGCCTCCACCTCCGCCGCCGTCGCGCTAGGGTACGGGGAGCACCTCTCGATCTCTTCACCTGCCGCCGTACTCAAATCAGGTGGGCTTATTTCAGCCAAACGAAAATTAAATGAAAAATAAATAATAACTAAATGATAACGTGGGAAACCAGGAGAAAAGGTGGGTAGTGGACGATTCTTAGTTCTGCAATCTGGCGGGGAGTTCTATTTTTTTCCCGCTCAACATCCTGCCACGTCAGCTTCCTAAAATCACTCTATGGACAGGAAAATTTGAATGGGGGTGGCAGTTTTACTTTTCAGCTATAAATTATACTGTTGATATAACTATCGGCTAAATTATAGGTTTGGTCACTTAAATTATATAAATTTTTTACGTTTGTCATCCGAATTATTTTTCTTTTTTATTTGTCAGTAACTTTACGAATCATTTCATCGTTAGTCACCCACCGTTACACTCCGTTAAATTTGTCCTATGTGGTAGTCAAACTATTAAGTTTGACCATTAACAAGATAACTTGAAAATTAAAATAAATTTATTTTTCCACCTCATCATTCCACCTTGTTACTATGATTTATCATATTAATTATTTATAAAAATTAACAAAGTAATGACGAGGTGCTATAAAAAGAGCAGTAAAAATTAACACACATGACTCTTCTCCCTCAATTCCGACACATCCTACTGCTGCTATTACTGCTCTCCGGCGCCTCATCCTCTTCCTTCCAACCGACCAACCGGTTTCCGCCGCCATTGTTGTATCATTGCCAATCGTCGTTGCTTCTGCAGCAGTACTGAGCGTCGTCCATCAGCGTTGTCGTGTCGTCCAGCGACTAGTGATGGTGGTGCTATCGGTCCTTTCCACAGCGAGGACTTGTTTCAGATTGGAACGGAAGGAAATTGTAAGTAATTTCACTTTTTCTTAATGTGCCCAATTCAGTTTCCCGATCTTGTCGATCTCGTCCTCTTTGGCCTTGAGCCGCTTCAGCATTCCTTCCTCAATCACTATGATTATCCTCCTCGCTTGCATCTTCCTCTTATCTTCCAATTCCGCCCTCACTTTCTTCATCTGTTATAACCACACACAAAATCCATAATCAGTCACCAATCAAGAAGAAGAAAAAAATCAAATCGAGTTACATGGTGAGAAATCCGGCGGTCGACGTCCGGTTGCTTCTGCAGGATCCGGAGGGAGAAATCGTGCCCTAGAAACTCCGTCGTTGCGGCCACGTTGGTATTGTTGTTCGACTGAGGTTTCCTTTTCTGTTCATACACCTCCCTGTTGGAAGGCCAACAAAAAAGACAAATCCAGGACGCAAATCCACACTAGAGAGTAGGGAAATAAAAAACAAATAAAGATCCCCGAGAACAGGAACACGAGCCGTCTTCGACGGGTAGTTACCGGCTGGTGCCGTGGAGTTGGAGAGGGAAGATATTGAGATGCCTGACCTCTACCGCCATTACAGAGAGTGCGATGGAGAGATGGAGAGCAGAGCAGTTGCGGCATATGAATGGTTTGGCGGTGGAAATCGTGCCCCAGAAACGAGATCGAAGTCGCTGTGGCCAAAGGAAGTGCCGGTGCAGGGAGAGAACGACTGGTGAGAGAGGCGAGTGAGCAAGAAGGTGACGACGAAGAGGAGAAGAACACCGATCTGGTGGGCACAAACAAGTGCTCGAGCGACGAGGAAAGAGGAGGTCGTTCATTTTCTTAATTCAATTAAGGGTTAATAGCATTTTTTACCCTCTATTATGATAAATTAACAAATGTACCCCTTTATTAAATTTTTGCACAAATATACCCTTCTAAAATTAAACCGTAACAAATTTACCCTTCCATCCATTTATCTGTTAAGTGACCGTTAAATGTGATGTGAAATGACTCAACTACCCATAATTTATTCTTAAATACTTCTAATTTCGATGTTAATTATTTTATATCCAAAATCAGTAAATAAAAACCTAAACTAATTCGCAAGCGCAAACGTCTCTTCCCTAGAAAATTGAATGGAAGGGTATATTAGTTACGTTTTTATTTTAGAAGGGTATATTTGTGCAAAAATTTAGTAGAGGGGTACGTTTGTTAATTTGTCATAGTAGAGGGGTACAAAATGCTATTAACCCTTCAATTAATTGTTATTAAGTAATTAATATGATAAATCATATATAAAAGTAAGTGGAATCATGAGGTGGAAAAATCATTTTATTTTTTTTCATTTTTTTAAATTTCCACTTCATAGTTAATGGTCAAACTTTATAGTTGACTGCCACGTAGGACAAATTTAATGGAGTGTAACGGCCGGCGACTAACGATGAAACAATTCGTAAAGTTAGTGGTGAATAAGAAAGAAAAGTAATTTGGGTGGCAAACATGAAAAAATTATATAATTTGAGTGACCAAACGTGTAATTTAGCCTATAACTACGGGCATTGCTATTCGTCGCCCTAAAATATCTTATTAGTCGTCCTAATATTTATTAAAATAACTTAAATTACCTTAATAATGTCTTTATTTTTCAAAGTCACATAAATACTAAAACAAACATAGAGAAATATACCCAATTAAAAAATATATTATCCAAAAGAACAAGTCAGTGAATTAAAGGTTAGAACTACAAAAAAAAATGAAGGAAAAAAAGAAGTAATTGGAAAATGGTTCTTACAGGTTGGCTGCCGGATCCATTTGTATAGCATACATGCCTTTTACGGTTTTACCGGCTCCACTTCACACAACGAACAGGTTTAAAACCGTCGGCGGGGAGCACAGGACAGGTCGGTATCCCGTCTGAGCTCGCCGGCGACGGGTTTCAACCCGTCCGCTGCAATCATCAGAAGAAAAAGAAAATAGCAGCAGGTCATGCATGCTGGAGAAACAGGTGCGGATCGGCGGGGGAACGGGTTGGGGGAATGGCAGCGACTGCCGGAATTTCGTGTCGGTGGGACGGCACAAGATATTAGGGATTACGGATTGGAAATGGACACAGGATATAAACGTCAATTTAATACCATTTAGGGCGAATAAATTTAAATTTTAGGACGACGAATAGCGATTCAGATAACTATCAATTACATACACGGGTGACACTGTACTGCCGAAGTGCATTGTACTTCGGGTCTTTGGATACATTTCAATTTGGATTATGAATTAAGTACGAACTATACTATAGTGATTTTGACAAGGATGAACAAATTTTATCAACCAATCAGAAAAAAGGAAAGTAATTGTATTGATACATAATGCAGAGCCTCCTTAAGCCAGCCGAGTGGGAAGGCTGAATAACAACGGGTTAATTTCATGGTTGGTCACCGAGATTACAAAAAACGTTCAAGTTTGGTCACTCGAAATATTTAAATTCATTGGTGGTACTTCAGTTTACTGAAACCGTTTACGTTTGATCACTCTTCTTCCAACTCCGTTAACTTTGGCTGATGTGGCAGTCAACTCTTAAAGTTGACCGTTAACTTAATGACGTGACAATTAAGAAATAATAAATAAACTAAAATTTAATATATTTTCATGTCCAACTCATTTTTACCATAAAATAAATAAATAAAATAAAAATTATTATAATTATCAAATTGAAAGGGCTCTCCGATCAAAGCACCGACATTCGCATATGAAGATCCGCCTTCCTCCACCGCTCTCTTCGCTATCCTCCCCAGCTCGCCGGCCTTCCTCATCTCCGCCGCCTCCTCACCCTCCTCCGCCATCATCCGCCCCATCGTATCTGCCACCCCTCCGCTCCCCACCTTCACCCCGTACAGCTGCTTCGCCTCGACCGCGATCCCAATCCCCAGGATCTCAGTTAGCAGCTTCTCGTTGTCGAACTGCTCCGCCGTCACCGGCCACGTCAACATCGGCAGCCCCGCCGTGATCCCTTCCAGCGTCGAGTTCCACTTGCAGTGCGTCACGAATCCGCTCGCCGCCAAGTGGTCCAGAATCAGCGCCTGCGGGGCCCACCCCCGAATTATCAGCCCTTTCCCTTCCATCCTCTCCTCGAATCCCGGCGGCAGCCAGTTGTCATCGCCGCTGCCGCCGTCAATTCCTCCTCCCCTGTTTTTCTCCCTCCTGACCACCCACACGAATTCCCGCCCCGAAGCCTCAAGCCCGGCCGCGATTTCCTTCAATTGGAGATCTGAGAAGTTCGCTAAGGTCCCGAGGCAAACATACACCACATATCTGGGTTTTTTTTTTTAGTTTGGGAATTGGAGGCCGGAGTGTTCGTCAATGGAGGATTCTTTCCCCTTGCTTGCTCTGTCTTTAATCCCCACATTGCAGAGAGAAACAGGGTCGATGCTCCAAGCCATGGTTGTCACGCCGGCCGGCGTGCCACTGGTTAAACCTGGTTCAACCTGTACCGGTCATAAAACCGACATGACACCATCGGTATGACCGGCATGATCGATATACGAATCTCCAAATAAAATTATCTTATCTTAGTGAATTTAATTGATAAAAAGTAATTTATTATTTATTTTATGTGTTAAAAAGTTAAATGTTGATGTTATTTGTTGGATTCAAGTACAAATATTTAGGTATTGACGTTAAATGTCGTGTTTAAATATGAGAATTTATAAATTATTTACAATATTAACCGGCATGAACCGGCACAAACTGGTATGTACCACCGGTTGAACCATTCCACTTGCTAAACCGGCACACTGGCATAAACCGGTTTGACAACCTTGCTCCAAGCCATTTTCCCCATTCCCTTTCAATTTGATAATTAAAATAATTTTTTATTTTATTTATTTTATGGTAAAAATGAGTTGGACATTTAATATATTAAATTTTTTATTTATTTATTATTTTTAACTGCCACGTCACTAAGTTAACGGTCAACTTTGAGAGTTGACTGCCACATCAGCCAAAGTTAACGGAGTTGGACGGAGAGTGACCAAATGTGAACAGTTTCAGTAAACTAAAGTACCACCAATGGATTTAAATATTTCGAGTGACCAAACTTGAACGTTTTTTGTAATCTCAGTGACCAACCATACAATTAACCAGAATAACAACCTGAATATCTAATGCAAGAACTCTAATTTAATATATATATATATATATATATATATATATATATATATATATGGCAAAGGATAGCGTACGATTGACGTACGTTGTACATTTGTGTTCACACTTGATTTTTGCACTTTAATATATTTCATTGAATCAGAACCGTCTGTTATTATTTTTTAGATTAAATGAATCTTGTGACTTGGGTTGGAGAATTAGGAATTGAGGTTCACCCATTAGAGGTTAGGGTATAATATCTTGCCCCAAACTTCGGTTAATTCATCCTCTAAATAGTAAAACTCGACGAGCGTACAATGTAAGTCTGACGTACGCTAGTCTAAAGCATATATATATATATATATATATATATATATATATATATATATATATATATATATATATATATATATATATATATATTGGATAAATTTTAAATTTTGAATTTTTGAACACAAACGCGAATATCAAGTTAACAATAATAATAATCAACAACTCTGATGAGTCGAAATACGACGAAATGCATTGAATAATCAGGTCATACTCTGGTGTACTTGAGAAGTATACAACCATTACTTTTTATCTATACACACCGGTTGGATCAGGTCAACAGAATTGGAGTTCCTTCCAACAGTCCCTAATTGATCATATTTTATCAAAATACGAAAATCAAATTAATTTATTTCATTTGAACAGGAATTAACGAAGAACCAATACTCAAAATGTTAGTTTTTAGTAATATTGAATGACACATGGATGGGTTGAATATTATTTTGGTTTATGATTCCGAGCTTAGATCCGGTTAAGATTTAAGGTTGCGTTGCACGCTTTCTTCAAATATACACTTCATGAGTTGCCAGCCCATGTTTTGACTCTTGGCCAGTGGTTGACCATTGACTAATACTTCCTTCCAACATATATACATCTAATTATTAGAGAACATCAATAGACACTGATCATTTCTGATAGTGTTGCAGTTTGGTCCAATCTATTGCTGTACGAATGACCGTCTCACTGCGTACATGATTTGGGTTCAAACAAGTTGAAACTTGTAAATCCGTAAGACTCGACTACTACTACTAGTGTACGAAGAATCAATCAACCAACCCGATTACTAACTCGAACGGTTCCTCTCCGATGATGGAGTGACAGAATCCCAGGAAATCTGGTATGGATATAGGACGGAGGAGGATGGGTGTGGCACCAGTTTTTGTGCTCCTCCAAAAGGGAAAATGAATAAATGTGGAAAGCAATAAGGCCAACAGAATGTTGATGCTGCTGCAAGTGGAAAAACCCGATCCCGAACCAGCTAGCTAGCTGAATAGCCAACTCTGCAAAACCTTTTCAACCTATACATAAAAGTAATTGGGTAAATGTAACATTTTGGTCACTCAAATTACTGGAATAGATTACATTTAGTCACTCTCTCGTTAGTTTCCGTCCAATTTCATAAATGTAACCTATTCCAGTAATTTGAATGAAGTTGGACGGAAACTAACGGGAGAGTGACTAAATGTGACATGTTCTAGTAATTCGAGTGACTGGAGTTGGACGGAGGCTAAAGGGAGAGTGACTAAATGTGACCTGTTTCAGTAATTTGAGTGACCAAAATTGATATTAAATTTTTCTAGTGACTAAACATGACACGATTTAGTAATTTTAGTGAACAAACGTGGCATTTACCCTAAAGTAATTGGTCGAAGAAATATTATCTGTCGTAGGCTGAAAGTCACCGATTTCGGAGCACATGATGTATTGGGTTATACGCGTTCGTTTTTTTTTTTTCTTTCTGTTTTGATATTTGTCTATACTTTTTTCGTTTTAAAATCGGCTTTGGTTAAACCGTCTGGAAAAAAGTACTATATAATTTGTCACATTGCTGACAATACATGTGTGTTGTGTCTGACAATGATAACATATCAGCGGCGGATCCAGAACACAGAAGAGCACTGGGCCGCATTTCATTAAAAAATGAGAACCGTAAAATAACATTATAGTTTTTTTACAATATAAATTGTACACGACGGTATTTTAATTTAGCGAATGCATCAATTATGGAGTCCACATCCATACCAATAGTATACATTGTTTTAAATAAAATACTTTAGCAATCGGCTAGAAATTCCTCGTTCATTTTGTTGCGAAATCAGTTTTCATATGTTTCATTGTTGAAAAGGTTCTCCTTGTAGTAGTTGTTGATACGAGCAGCGTCAACACTAGACAAATCAATCGTGCATTGTGTGTCCATACCTATATCCACTAACTGCTTTAGTAAATTTTCAAGGGAACAAACCTCATATTTCTTATAGTCTTTTACGTTTTAGACTTTTAGAATTTTAGATTTCATTGTTTTTTTAGAAAAATAGTCTTTGGAGCTAGAATTTCTAGGCTAAATTTATAGTAGTGATTTGAATATGTTAATCTGAATCATGTTTCTAGTTACACACAATCTTATTTTAAAATAACACTAGGCCGAATAACTAAAATCGAAAAATTCATAAATACTACTAACTCCGAATCCAGGGAAGGGCTGGCAAGGGCCCGGGGTGGCTACCCCTAGATCCGCCACTGTAACATATACTAGTTATTTGAAATTTTTGTTGACGAGCCAATTCATAAATTAATTACTGTAGACAATTCATAAATTAATTACGTCTGTCGGGGGAGGAAAATGATCGATATTTGCCTATTTGGTGAAGAAGCTGATGGAATGAGATTTATCATTGTGTTATCGACACAAGCAAGCAAGACATTCAATTGAGACCCTCAGAGTCAGCTATGCCTCCTACCTATCACTTATCCGCTGCGTGTCACGTTATTACATGCATGTAAACAATACGTACCTTTTAATTCTATCTATAACCATATATGCAGTTAGTTAGTCAGTTAATAACTCAATATACAACGTACAGTATAATAGGTCAAATTTTCGCGGAAACCCCTAAAGCAGAAAACAATGAATTGAAGTTATAATTAACTATCAAGGGGTCCAATCATTGAAATAAAACCTTGCTTGCTTTGCTTTATGTATTTGCGCCACCTTTCATTTTCATTCCCACTCGATGGATGCAAGGAAGGGAGGGTAATATCAACTCCCACTTTCATGACATTAATACTGTCGGTGCTTTGATTAACACCATGCATCCCAATCCATCCTTTTCTCTCCCCATGTTACCCGCTCTATCTAGCCACCTATATTTAATTTGAGCTATATAACTCCATTTATTTTCACTATTACTCTAGGATGAAAAACAAACAAAACAACCTCCACTAATTTGTTTCTAATGATTGCTAGATAGATAGAAACCTCTACTCCAAATCCATCCAAAGAAGCCACCATACAAAATCAAAAGAAGTTAACTCTAACGAGAACAACAAGAGCGCTTTAAGTGTCACTCTATGGACAGTCGAGTTGACAATCCGCAGAACCGCGCTAAAACTATACAAAGAGGACACAAACTTAAGTAATTGAAGACACTCTCGAAGCAAGGTATCCCAACGAATCTCCCACCAACCCCCTGGTCTAGTTGTCGGATCACTCTTGAACCTATTAACATGCTTTCGCTAATTCAACTCGTGTTCTTTGACCATGGACATATCCCTATTGTGGGACGTGGTGGACTCATATATATGAGTCCTGCTAGCTCGTGACATGTTTTGCTGCAAACTCAAATATTGCATTGTGCTACCTATTCACGGTCACGCGATTTGCGAAGGAGGTCGTTTGCTCTACCGATAAAACATATGTCCGCAAAATAGGTCCTTTGTTCTACCAATAGAACTTTTTCTACTTCTAATGGCGGATTCCTAGTCTGATCAACACTCTAAAAAAAGATATTAACATATGGTGTAACTCGAACGCGGTTCCATTTGAAATACATCGATATCATTGCAAAATTGCGAGTTTGATTGGTTCAAGCAAACAAGAAACAAACAACACAACTAGGAGAGAGAGAGACTAGTCAGGAAATTGAGGCCAGGAGTAATGAGCTGGATCCAGCTCCATCTACAGCCTACTGTACTAGTGGTAGACAAGAATGGCAATTTCAAAGATCATGATACTAAAATGTGTTGGAAAGTAATCTTTGAAGAACAGCAACCCTAAGTCTAACAATTAAAGCTTTCGTTAATTATATGGGAATGGAATACTAATCATTGATATCATTACAACTGTTCAATT